AACATCCACATTTCAAACTGCACCAGCACTTAAGCTGAACGGATGTTTGTCGGCAACTGCTCTAATTCAGGCCAAGTGTAAAAACAATAAAGCCATACTTAAAAAGCCACATTCTACAAAGTGCACACAGGTGAAATGCACACTAGAAACTGCATACATACACACAATTAGATGTTGCTAAGCTAAACCTCCCTTGACACTTGCCAGTAAAGAAAAAGTGGGTGGGTGTGTTTGAATAAACAGCACATATGCTAGTTTAGAGACACGGCGTGAATGCCAATATATGTCCAGTATGAAAGTAAAAAGGCTGGTTTTAAAACAATCATAGGAAATCTAAGCTATCTGAGGCTCTTTCCCCAAAAACTGTATTTGAAGGAAGATATGCTACTATAATGCTCTTCAATTTAATTAGGTTAGTGAAAAACCCAGCAGCTGTATTTATATCATAGGCTAAGTTCAGTTAGTTCTTGGTCAGGCTTTTTTGTAGCTTAATATATTGGGCAACAATATGTCGTTAGCTGTTAATTGAATATATTCTGCAGACTCCAACATTGGTTAATTCAACAAACAAAATAACTTTGTTGTGTGAACTCAGCCTTCAATTATCCATACAAAAGAATGCTGTAACTTATATATAAGAGCCATGGAGACCGCAGTGGTTAGAAAGCAGCACTGCAGGCTAATTCTGTCGGCTAACTGCAGTTCGGCAGTTGGATCAAGGTTGACTCAGCCTTCCATCCTTCCGAGGTGGGTAAAATGAGGACCCAGATTATTTGGGGGCAAGGTGAACTGCTTAGAGAGGGCTGTAAAGCACTATGAAGTGGTATGTAGGTCTTGTTGCTATTGCTATATATTATCTCAGAATGTCATCCCTACAATAATGATTTTCAATGACAAGAAAATAGATTTTGGATTGAATGTTGGGGGGGGGAATCTTAACAGTAAGAAGAATTTGACACTGCGATTAATGACCAACAACCAGCTGGGTGCATTCAAATTGAATTTGGATAAATATTTGGCAGGGTTGTTCATCTGAAATTGATAAGTACCAGAGAGGGAATTAAAAGCTAAAATCCACAGCAAAAAATCTTTATATAGAAATGGCAAAATTCTCAGTTTATACTTTTAAGATTAATATCTAAAGAGCCGTGATGGCGCAATGGTTAGAATGCAATATTGCTGGCTGATTCTGCCCACTGCCAGCAGTTTGATCCTGACTGGCTCAAGGTTGACTCAGCCTTCCATTCTTCCGAGGTTGGTACAATGAGGAGCCAGATTGTTGGGGGCAAGAGGCTGACTCTGTAAATTGCTTAGAGAGGGCTTTAAAGCACTATGAAGCAATATATAAGTCTAAGGGCTATTGCTAACATTCGCAACAAATTCCTCTTCAGCTAGCTATTGTCAGAATTCTATTTCAATGTTCTTATATCATTTCCCAATCTACTGTAGCCCTGGACTACTTTTTTTTAAAAAAACTGCTCAAAAATGCCAACCGTGATGTAGGTCACAATAATCCAATTTAACTGCTTTGGCAAAGGCAAACATCAAGACACTATCATTTAAAAAAAACACCAAACAAACACTAAACAGCAAACACTGTCCCTGAAAAAGGAACAGTTTTCAGACATGTTGGGCAAGAAGTCCAATTTGATCCTGTGATTGTTATTGTAATTTCCCTTGAAATGTCATGAAAATTGGACTGTTTCATTTGCTTCTTTAGTCAATGTTTCTTGACACTCTGCCTTTTTTTTTTTAGCTTCAAAAGCAGCAATTGTCTAAGTATTTTGATTAAGAAAATGTGATTGGAGAAACCAAGGTTAAAATTTCAAACTGTGTAGAAGATGCTCAAAAACGTAAGGTTGCTGTTTAGTCAGCAGGTAGAATTTCCCTGACCTCAACTATGTTGAGAGCAGCTATCTAGAATGCAGAGTGTGAAATATTTCAGTTTTCCTCAATCATCTTTAAGTATGACAGCTTCAGTCTAGTCTCACATTACCCCCTTCCTATTCATAGTGTGCAGCCAAGAAATTAAAAGACACTCCTGGGGAGGAAAGCTATGGCCAATCTAGACGGCATACTAAAAAGCAGAGACATCACCCTGCCAACAAAAGTACATATAGTCCTGGCCATGCTTTTCCCAGTTGCAAGGTATGGCTGCGAAAGTTGGACCACAAGAAAGGTTGAGCACCAAAGAATTGAGGCCTTCGAACTATGGTGCTGGGGAAGATTCCTGCGAGTCTCCTGGACTGCAAGACCATCAAACCGGTCAGTCCTAGAAGAGATCAACCCCGACTGCACTTTAGAAGGCCAGATCCTGAAGTTGAAACTCAAATACTTTGGCCACCTAATGAGAAGGAAGGACTCACTGGAGAAGATCCTAATGCTGGGAAAGATGGAGGGCAAGAGAAGAAGGGGACGACAGAGAATGAGATGGCTGGATGGAGTCACTGAAGCAGGAGGCGTGAACTTAAATGGACTCCAGAAGATGGTAGAGGACAGGAAGACCTGAGGAACATTGTCCATGGGGTCGCGATGGGTCGGACACGACTTCGCAATTAACAACAACTTTGAACGGTCACTAAATGAACTGTTGTAAGTCAAGGATTATCTGTACTGTCAGTGTATATTTTCTCTCTGTTTCTATCTTTACATGGGGTGAAGCAGATGTCTCTTGTTTGGATTAGCACTTAATGCAAAAGTGTTTTTTTATTGTCCTAAGCCTGAATGTTATATTATTGTTTGTGTGTCCACATGCACAATTTTGGCAAAGAAGAATGAATAAACATAAAAAGGAATGTGTTCATTTTCCTACGAAGTCTGCTTAATTTTTTTTTCTTATACAGCTTCTCCCTGAATTCGCTATATTTAAATGCAAGGAAACTATAACATTTATTTTTAAAATTTGCCACTGAAAACAATAACATGATCTTTTAAAAAAATAACTACCACACTTGGACAAATAAAATTGTTTCCAGAGAGCAATTGGAGAGAATGTGTTGTACATAAGTTTGTCTTTGATCGCTATTAGAATTACTTATGAAAGCTGTAAATTTGGAAAGGGTGTGGATACTTTTCTATGTGACACAATTCATTGGTGAATCTGTTTCAGTTTAAAATTACCAAAAAAAAAAAACCCAAACAATTCTGTTCATTACAGTGCTTTATTGCAGTCTCTACTCACTTCGAAAATAAAGTAGACCACGGCCCCTCTAACTTTGACGTACCACAATTTCATACCCCCCCCAATAGCATTAGGTTTATGTAAGAATTAAATACACCACTGTTAGATACCAAGAATCAGGACCATAGGTTAAGTTGCAGTTAAGAAAATTTATTGCTTAAGCCTATATACAAGAATCTTGTCAACTAACGTTCAGTGCTATAATGCCACTAGAGAAGGGTCAATGGAATTCAAGAGGGGTTGGGTTTGCACCATTTATGGCAGTGTAATAACTTTAGGCTGATGACTCACTTAATTCTTCCACCCAGCCCTGCCTGCTCTTCTCCTACATCCATTTATTAAAATACAATGTAACTTTCACATTACTCTTTTGACTAAAGCTTACTTTTATCAGTATCAATGGCTTGGTCAGCTTTTAAGGTCCCCCTTTAGCTTATCTATCAAGATCACATGAAGTATTAATACAACTTTACAATGCCTTGGTAAGGCCACACTTGGAATATTGCATCCAGTTTTGGTCACCATGATGTAAAAAAGGTGTTGAGACTCTAGAAAAAGTACAGAGAAGAGCAGCAAAGATGATCAGGGGACTGGAGGCTAAAGCATATAAGGAAAGGCTGCTGGAATTGGGTATGTCTAGTTTAATGAAGAGAAGGACGAGGGGGGACACGATAGCAGTATTCCAATATCTCAGGGGCTGCCACAAAGAAGAGGGAGTAAAGCTATTTTCCAAGGTGCCTGAAGGCAGGACAAGAAGCAATGGATGGAGACTCATCAAGGAGAGAAGCAACCTAGAACTAAGGAGAAACTTCCTGACAGTTAGAACAATTAACCAGTGGAACAATCTGCCTACAGAAGTGGTGATTGCTCCAACACTGGAAGTTTTTAAGAAGAGACTGGACAGCCATTTGTCTGAAATGTTATAGAGCAGGGGGTTGGACTAGATGACCTCCAAGGTCCCTTTCAACTTTATTATTATTATTATTATTATTATTATTATTATTATTATTGCCATCCTTTTCCCCCTCATTTGAGAAGGCTGGGCATTTAAATTAACGAATAAGTTTACTTTCTACAGATATTCAGAAGACTACAGCTATTCTACCACACGATGCTCTGGTGAATGGCAGATGAGGTTGACAGATGGCTCGGCCCACGGATTTAGTCATCCATGGAAACACACTTGAGTTTTCTTTCCCACTTTCCTTGTGCAAAGCCAATCAACTCAACTCCCCACCCCATCCCAGTTTACTCACAACCCCCTGGGGATGGCAACCCATAATTGGAGAACAGCAGTGATCCAAACTGTCTAGTGGAGAAAATATGCTCAGATTAGCTCCCATGAAGACTATTGAATCATGAACAAGGTTCTTGCTGAGAAAACTATGTGTATGCATTGGGGGGGGAGAGGCTCCTTTCTTGCATTGTACTTAAAATAAAATTTGGCTTTTCCAAAAAATACCCGTTTTATGTGAAGTGTATAAGGCTGCTGTCATCTGAACCCCATGTCTAATTTTTGTTACAAAAAAAATATGAAATTCATCCCTTTTATCATGTATCGCTTTCATAATCTGGCCTCTGCTTTATAGCAGAAACTCTCCTTTATATTCAGTTCCATTCCATTACAGCTACAGTTGATTATTTTCATACGCTAGAATGTAGATGGCCAACAGGCAGCCCCCATGCCTTCACTTGAGCCAAAAGGACCAACGTGCCTTCATCGCTTTGTCGTTTGCCATGTTTCAACCAACTCCATCTCAAGCAACTGAAATCTCTTCCAAAAAGTAACCGTGGGACACGAAGGGGTGCGTCTACTTACATGTAATGTAAGTGAGGATTCTTATCGAACGCCCGCGGCTGGATGCTTCGGAGCCCTGAGTTCGTGATTGTCCTGCAAAGAGATGCAAAAGGACAGGAAAAGCAACCCATGAAGAAAGAATCAGTGAACGTCAGGCTTTCAGAGATCTCACGTTAATATTGAATCAGAAGAGGTAATTGGAAGACTAGCCTGCCAGCCTGAATCTAGAGGCCTTTAAAACATTCCCACCCATCCACCCCCCAATTGGGGAACGAATCTGTCAAGATCGTTTTTTTCTCAGTATTGGGGCAGGCAAATATGTCAACTATAATTATTTGAACTTCAGTTTCTTTTTTGAATAACTTTTCCACTAAAATTCAAAAGCATTTAGTGCACACTTCTGCAAACATGCCTCTCTCTCTCTCTCTCTCTCTCTCTCTCTCTCTCTCTCTCTCTCTCTCTCTCTCTCTCTCTCTCTCTCTCTCTCTTTGGCAATTCTCCCTAAGGTACACAGATTTTTAAAGCATTTTCCTTAATATAATACACTTTTGTGTCTGTCTGTCTGCCTGCCTGCCTATCTCCATCTTTCCCTATCTATATATCTATCTTTCTATCTTTCCCTCTCTCTTTATATATATAAAGAGAGAGGGAAAGATAGAAAGATAGATATAACTTTATATATATATATAAAGAGAGAGGGGGGTATCCCCTCAGAGGAAAAGTTATAGCAACAAGCTGTCCCATGATTAATTTAGCCTCAGTGTGTATCATTTCCACAATTCCAAATGTGGGGAGAATACCAGCCATCTTTGCATAGCTATTTTAAGGATTTCTAAGGCAAAATGAAGCATTTCATCTGCCTAAGGCATTAGTTCAATGCTTTCTGACAGCTTTAGTCTCAAACAAATGAAGCATTATATCAAAGTCAGATCATCAGTTCATTAACCCTCAGAATGTTCTACAACTTGAGTTGCTAACATGGGTTACCCCCGATATTGTTCAGTTACAACTCCCAGCATCCCTTGCCATTTGCCCTGCTTTGTATGGATTCTGAAAGTTTCTAGAACAGTGACATCTGCCATTCCATAAAGTCACTCTCACTAGTCTGTACCAGACATTAACTGCTACTAAGAATTAAACCTGAGAATGGAGGGGTGGAAAAATGGGAAACGATGTTGATTCTCTAAATTAAATCAGATTTCTAAACTAAATTCAGCAACATGAGGTGAATTGAACTGTTGAATCAAACCGAAGACCTCTACGTCCATTTAAACAATTTAAAATCTTGTCCCTTAATCAGTTTGGAAGTCAGAATCAGAAGCCAATCAATTTTCTGAATCAATATGGAGGTCTGAATCAGATTATAGATCTTAATCAAATCCATGTTTCAGATTGTTTTTTTCTTTTTTTTTTGCCTGACTTCCATGTCTCTAGCAGGATTTCAGCAGGCCAAGGAAACACTCGGTCACTGAGCAACAGATGGTTCCCAAGCAACCAAAAATTGCATGCAGTGACCGAACATCTTGATAGAAAATGAATAGCAGTCCGTGCCCAGCATTCAAGTATTACTTTCCATCTTTTCCATCATTTTCTTATGGCTTATAGTAACGTACAACTTAAAGTATGTATTTTCATTTATAAATCATCTCTTTAGAGATACAAACATACACACACTATGTATATTCTATACATATAGGCTATAGCTATACCTAACGAAAGCATACAATTCCTTGTAAACTAAATGAATAATAACATATGTTCCCCAATTTTTTTAAAAAAGTACTTGCTTGTACTTTTGTAAACTAAATGAATAATAACATATGTTCCCCCAATTTTTTTTTAAAAAAGTACTTGCTTATTTGAACGTTGCTGTTTCAGTTATCCACTGGATTTCTACTTCCAATTAATAATACTAATATATGATAATAAAATACTTGCAATGAACAGTGAATTCTGTATGTACTATCTCTTTATAATTCTTTAACTAGGCCAAAAAAAATGGGAAAGTAATCACAGCAAGAACAATCAAATAAAAGAGTCACAAATATCAAAAGATTAATGTTGTTATCAACAAGTATAGAAAGCATCCAACTAAAAGTCTAAATTTAACATTGTGGCTTGTACATTTTCACCTTTTTGTCCTACCAAACAAGTTCATTCTTCCAGGTTGCCATTATCAAAGAAAGTTTTTCTGACAGAATGTCTCGTAAGCCATAAATGCATTTCTGATTGTTTCTGACACAATGAATATGCTTTGTAAGATACCAAGTACCACATTTTATCTTCTCCTCCTGTAAACTGATACATTCAACATATGTATTTCCTTAAATTACCTCCTACAGCCTGTAAAGGAATATGACTATATTCTGTATAGGAATATGACTATATCTGTTCCTTTGATTTTATTTTTAAAATCCTTCGCTAGCAGAAACACAGAGACACAATCACAATTCCAGCACTAAATTTAGAGAAATTCTGAACAAGCCACTTATAATGTTCCATGGGCAATTCCTACAGAGGACATTTGATTCTTGGAGCTAAGCTACAGAATAACTTAGCAAAATGGTGTTGGTGTTGTTGTTTTTGTTGGCTTGTGGTGAGACGCAGGTGAGTTACTGTAGCATTTGCTTTCTTGACAGAAGGCATTTAACAAATTTAAATTCCTGAAATATATTTAGTATGGAAGTTCTCAGAGTAGGAACTTGAAATTGATAAACCTGAAATTCACAATGGTGAAGCCTTAGCAGAATGCTCAGTATGGACATGGATTCCCAGCTATGTTTTAGAATGGGGGTCTCTAACCTTGGGAATTTGAAGACATGTGGACTTCAATTCCCAGAATTCCCCAGCTGGCTGAGGAATTCAGAGAGTTGTAGTTCACATATCTTAAAGTTGTCAAGTTAAAGCAGGGGTGTCAAACTTCCAGCCTGTGGGCTGGATGCGTCATGGCAAAATCGTGCCCACCCCATTGCCGGCAATGGAAAAAAGTTGCGATACGTCAGGACACATCACGTGACATTGCAAGTTTGACTTTCCTGATTTAGAGTGATCTATAAAATCCCATATGCATTTCAAGGCAGGTGATTTGAAGGTAGATTGGCAAGTCAATGGTCCACCAAAAAGCAATGAAGCCAGCTGGTTTGCAAGAAGCAAGCATTTCTGTCCAAGCATCCAAGTCTAAATCCAAGCTACAAATTCTCCACAGAATGACTTATTGGAATTACCAGCTATATGAAATGAACCGAGGTTCTAACTTCTTTGGTCACCTAACCCCAGTTGCAGTTAGACTCAATAATCTGTAGACTTCACTTTTGGATAGCTGTCATCGATCCGCAGCTCCAGAACCAAATTTGATTGCTCACCTATTCATGTTGGCTTATTTGATGCGAGAACATGCCTCCTCAGCAAAAGCTCAACTCTCTGTTTTGTTTCAAAAAATGGCCAAAGGAGGTAACAAAGTGAATGCACATTTTGCAAATTCAGTGAAACACTTCTAAATCCAAGTTCAGCTGTGCATATTGAACCACAAACCCAGAAGAGAACATTTGGTCTTAAACCCAGTAAGCAGGTCAAATATTCATACTAGATTTCTTTTGATAGTGTAGAGGAACAGACCTGGTCAACCTTCACTTGTTCTCACAAACTGAGACAAAAATACTCAAAAACACAATACTCACAATCTCTGGAGTCCTGTGTACAGCTCCATGTCTACGGCATGCAAAGTCTGCAAATTCTTCCAGTACTCTATGTATCTATAGAGAGATAACAGGGTGGGAAAGAAAGAAGATCACTTTTAGTACAGAAATACCGTGCAACAACTTTCAGAGGAACCATTGACTGTGCGGTAGAACCAGGGATGGAAAAAGCATTGACAATCTCTGAAGTTGATGGGTTTCATCAGGATTTGAACTGGTTTATTTATGATGCCAGATCCATGCACCATATAACTTTATGATGCCTGGAACTGGTATAAGTGAGCTGAATTTGCCAAGGCAGCAAGCAAACCTTGATAGGACAGGAAATAATGAAAGAAGACTTCCTAAGAAGGAAGAATTACCCAAATTTATTGATCATATTAAATGGATGCAATTTTAAACCATTTGATATTGCTTTGCATATAAACTAAGTACAGTTAGGATTCAGTACTTAGTTTATTAATTGTATAGAGTAACAGAGCAAAACGTTTAGCAAAAGAGTGCCTCTAAGTAACTGATACATTCAACATAGGTATTTCCTTAAATTACCTCCTATAGCTGTGGTTTTTAACTTTTTCTTCACCATGGACCCCCCTTTAAATACCTTTTGTGGCCATGGATCATGGCCACAGACCCCCAAGATTTAACTCAAGATTTAAATCATAATATTTCTTCAAGCCTTCATGGATCCCCTATGATGATATTGCAGACCTTAGGTTGAGAACCAATGTACTACAGTATCTTCAAGATAAAGAAGGAACAACACCTCTTCTATGGGAAAGCCCCCAATTTGAAGTAGATAACCCCCTAAACCCAAAAAAAGAATATTTTTTTCTTCAAAATACTGCTTCCTTTCCCAGAAATAGTTATTTTTTTTAAAAAAAGACTCTTTTTTTCTTATTTAACAAATTCACTGAAGAAAACCCTGCTAATAAATCAATTTTGTCATTATTAATTAATCAAGAGCTCTTATTGCTCAAACTGATAGAGAAAAGATAAAAAAAATGTCCTCTAAGTTTCTGCAGTTTTTAAATCTATGTAAAATTATCTTTTAATAGAAAAGAGAAACCCAGAGGAAAATTCTGATGATCTGATCATCACTGTATCCTTCAAAGAGCTAAACAACCAATCAGGACCGCTGTACAATTTGAATGTGTACCCTTTTTTCTTTTCTTTTTTTTTTTTTTTTTTTTTTTTTTTTTTTTTTGAAGTTGTACATTTCAGTGGGCACACTACTGCGGCTTTCTGAGGTACTTAAATTGTGGTTCTTTTTTTTAACTGAACACGTTTAAAGTATTTGCACCCTGCTTTTTTGGAAAAATGTTGCCCAAGACAGTTTCCGATTAAAGGCACACAATATAAAATATAGACATGCCACAACAAATTAATGCAAAGCAAAATCACAACAAGCTATATTAATAGGAGAAACTAAAATAAAAAAACCCTTAACATTAAAAACTGTAAATGATGTTTCAGATAGTTTAGACATACAATTTCAGCATAGCAGTAAAATCTCTAGTATACAATGTGGTATTCGCAATCAGGAAACATTCTAAATGCATCCAAAACTTTCTTAGGCAAAAGTCTCAGGGAAGTGGGTGCCACTGAGACTCAGAAAAGCCCCATCTTCTATTGCTGTCTATGCTGTGGCAATATTCCCTCAACCAGAGAATTTCTTCCTAAACCTAAGAATTTGGGGAGTTGAAAGTACAAATATGTAGGAGAAACGAAGTTGAAGATAGTGCTTTGAGATACCCAGTTTGGTTACAGTATGAAAGACAGAAGAAATATATCCAGCCCTAAAAGTATATGTAAGCCTTAGGCTCCATTTCCAGAGTCCTCACTCAGATGGATTTAAAGACATACTATTTGCCAAAAAAATCATGGATAGTAAGTTTTGATGGCTTCATCTTCCATCACCTCTCCCACTATCTCACTTCACTATATAGCTGGTGTTTTTTGTTTTTTTAAAAGATGGCTTTGTGAGTTTGAATAATTGTGAGATTGATTAGTGTTTCAATTGAAGCCTCATTTCTGTCAAGTAAAATATTCCTGTTCTAGGCCAAAACATTTTGAACAATCATTTCCCAAATCCATGTCATTGCTGTGCATTCACTAATTATTGGGCTTTGTTCTCTACTTCTTAGTGATTTTTTTTACAAAAATAATAGTAAAAAAAATCTGGATTTCGTACATACCATTTCACGATGTCTTTGTGGTTAATGAAACTTAATTAACCCTAGTATCTTAATTTCTTTACACAACTTTCCCAAGTGTATATGGTTGCACATACATTTTGCATGCAGGGATTTCTACCTGTGTGTCAATTTCATATAAGGAATTGAAAATGATTAAAAATTAAAAATATTACAGATTTACTGTGCACAATCTATACACACAAGACAAGACTGTATTAGCCCCATCTTTTAGCAGCTCCAATTCCTCACCTCTTTTAACAAAATAGAGATGTATTTTCACAGGAGATATTCAGCAGTAACATAGGTAAGTATCAATTTTGTATTATCAATTATGCTAAGAGTGAAGGTGTGTTCTTCAAACATTAATATAATGGCAACTATTATTGTAAATGTGTCTTTACTGTATCAGTCTCTATGAGCCCAAGTATTCTGACACACATGCCATAAAAGAAGGACAACCGAAACACATCTGTCACATTTGACACAATTCAATGCAACGTATTAGTAGATAATAAAGCTAGGCTAACATCTGCAGAGAGACTGCAGTGTTATGTTTAACAATACAATGAGGAAAAACAATGTAAGCAAAATTGCTACAAACAGCTGTCTCCATGTCAGCATCATTTCATTTTCATACACCCAAAAACATAAAGATTTTTTAAAATATTTTTTTGGTCTTCTAGTCCAACCCCCTGCTCAGGCAGGAGACCCTATGCCATTTCAGAAAAATGGTTATCCAATCTCTTCTTCAAAACCTCCAGTGTTGGAGCACTCACAACTTTTGGAGGCAAGTTGTTCCACTGATTAATTGTTCTACCTGTCAGGAAATCTCTCCTTAGTTCTAGGTTGCTTCTCTCCTTGATTAGTTTCCATCTATTGTTTCAGGTGCTTTGAAGAATAGGTGGATCCCCTCTTCTTTGTGGCAACCCTTCGGATACTGGAAAACTGCTATCATGTCACTTCTAGTCCTTCTTTTCATTAGAATAGATATATCCAATTCCTGCAACTGTTCTTCAAATGCTTTAGGCTTCAGTCTCCTAATGATCTTCATTGCTCTTCTCTGCACTCATTCTAGAGACTCAACATCTTTTTTTTTTTTATATTGTGGCAACTAAAACTGGATGCAATATTCCAAGTGTGGACTTACCAGTGGAATTCTATGATGAAATTTAGGAAAAAATGAGAGGAAGTTGCAATATCAACTTAGTATTGGGTTCTTGATGTTCTCTGAACTTCCTGCAGATGCTTCACTGTCAGGCCCTCAGTTTGGGGGGGGGAATCAAAATATTAAAAGAGGCTACAAAATAATTCATAATAATTTTTTTTTTCATCTTTCTTGGCCAGGGATCCTGCAAAGGAGAATACACTCCTTTTACTCACAGTAAGGATCCTTGCTGCATTTGGATTGCAGGCATGCTGAATCTCCAAGATTAAGTGGCATGCAAATGCAACATAATTGAAAGAGGAGCAGTGTGCCAAGCGCTATTGTCTTGCAGGGTAACAAGAAAATTGATTTTTTACCCAGGCATATTACACCTAGTGATCCAATCCAAAGCATTTGCCTTCAGTGATTCAGTATGTTTAGCTTGTTGATTTTTTGGAGGATAAAAAGCTGAATAAATGAATTCAAAGCACGAGGATAAAGGGAGAGGAGGATGCAGAAAAGAGGCTATTTTCCAGAATATCTGCCACAAAGGACCCACCTCTTTTCTTCTCCCCATTGCTTCCAGCAATGGGCAGGCAAATGGAACTTAGAGGAACTGAGACTGATTGGTGCTTAGGAAGCGGATGGGCTTAATAGCTTTCCATCGAAGCCCACATCAGCTAGCTGCACCTCCTGCACGCTGCTTTAAGAAACTGCAGCCAACAGAAATGCAAGAGTAACAGAACAACCCACAAATCATCAGGCAGCATTAAAAAGGGCAAACCAAGCCACCCACACAAGATATAATGGGGGAGTGTGAAGCTTTCTACTGGCTGAGCTAATACTTCATGACACACCTTATGTAATGTTCACAAGCAATTCCTTTTACAAACAGCATCACCAGAGAGTAAAAGATTGATTGGTTCCTAGGTATTAATTTAACTCCTGCCTTTGCAATTAAACTAAAACTCTCTTTTTATGACCCTGTAATGCCTTAATTCAGGATAGAATGGGGGCAACTGAGCTGAGTATTTACTGGCTGGATGCCCTTCCTAACACCTATGGGGAGTTCACAGCAGAGAGAAATATCTGCTGCTACTTAGGATTGAACTCTCAACCTTCTGAGTGGGAGGCAAATGTCTTCTCCACTAGGCCACCACACTGCTCACCTTTGCAATTAAACTATTGTTGAGAAACCTTTAATTCATACACATACACAGAGAGATAAAACAGCACAAAGTGATTCCTGTTCTTTAAGGATTGACTTATTTCTTATGGCGTGAGGTTTCATGGACTGCAATCCTTTTCTTCCAATGCATTAGGCACTAAATAAACATATTAGTCACTAAAATGAAACGTTGAATATTTGCTGAAGGTACTGGGTTCCACAGATTAATATCAGTATTCTTCTGAATTTGAGTATGTAGGATCCTGAAAGCTATTATTATCTCATGCTCACTTAACAGGAAATCATCTCCATGGAATATGGGAATGCTTCCGATTAAACATTCATTAAATCATGATGCTATTTCAGTGCTGCATTTGTTTACTTAAAATAGTTAAGAGAAATAGAAGTCAATATAGCCACAGGAGACCATGATTAAAAGACACTCCCGTTGTCATACACCTTAGCAATTCAACACATTTTGTATCAACATGGAACAAGATATTCACTTAAAGAATGTTTTGATTGAAGATCATTATGGATTACCAGA